GCTGGGAAGGTCCTTCTCCCCATCCTCACCCGTCGTGATACCACCCCACGCTGTCCCCATGCTATTCTGTTCGGATCCCCATTGCATCCTATCCCATCCTCTCTCAGTCCCGTCTCCTTCTGATCCCATCACCTCCTGTCCCCAAACTGTACTTATCCCATCCCATCCTTAACTCATTCCATCCTTGTCCCTGTCCAACTCTCAACACATTCCACCCTGTCCCTGTGCCATTTCTGTCCCCGATCCCCTTCTCATCATGTCCTCTTCCTATCTCATCCCACTCTTTTCCCATCCTACTCGATCCAATTCTGATCCCATTTCCTGCCCATCACATCCCACATCCTCTCCATCCCATTCCTATTGCATGTTGTTCCATCTGATCCTAACCTGATCCCACTCCTATCCTCCAATCTGATGCTACCCCATCCTCTTTGTGTACCATCCTGCCCTGCCCATACCACACCACCTTGATGCCCCCCACACATGGTCTCCACCTTACCCCATTCTACTTCCCCATCCTGATCCCCTCCCACTCTGAGCACCTGCTCTCATCCCCCAGCTCCCTGCCCTAGAGGGGAATCCCCAAACTCCCTGCTCTCCAGGAGGGGCAGGCCTGACACCCCCTCCCAGGACACCACCCTCCTGCCCCACCAGCTGCAGCTGTGACGGCTCCTCATCCTGCCTGCCTGTGGGCATTTAAGAGCCAGGGGCAGCCCAGGGAAGCATGTGCTGGGCAGGATGGCTACAGGAGAGCAGGTGGGTGCTCACCCTGTGAGCTGGGGAGGCAGGCCTAGGCAGCTCTGCTATCCCTTGGGGCTCCTAGTGTGAGCATGGCTGAGGGGCTGCAGGCTGCCTGCTGGGGTAGCCGTGGGGCTCCTCAGGGTTGTTCCCTCTTCCCCAGCAGAGGCAGGAGAAGCGGCGCCGGCGCAGGGCTCGGCAACAAGAGCTGCTCCCAGAAGAGGTCCTGGACAAGCACCCCCTACAGAACAGGTACAGGGAGCCCAGCCATGAGCAGCCTCTCCCAGCACCGAGAGGGGTGTGCTGGGTCAGGAGGGGGTTTCCAGCATGGCTGAACACTCTCTCCCTCCCCAGATGGGCACTGTGGTTTTTCAAGAATGACAAGAGCAAGATGTGGCAGGCAAACCTGCGCCTCGTCACCAAATTCAGCACTGTGGAGGATTTCTGGGCGTGAGTGTCCCTTCTGGAGGTGTTCTGGTGGGGAGGTCTGGGCCAGAGGAGGGTGCTGGAGGTCCCTGAGGCACCTCTTCTCATCTGCTTCTGTGTCTCCACCTGGTACAGGTTGTACAGCCACATTCAGCCTGCCAGCAAGCTCTCATCTGGCTGTGACTATTCCCTCTTCAAGGTATGATACCCCATGCTCACAGTCCCCACCGTGCCCAGCATTATAGGGGCACATTGAGTGCTGGTGGGGCTGGCAGGATGCCCTGGCTGTAAGGTGGGAGGAGAAATCCGGCTGGATATTCACAGCTTCCAGAGCCAGCTTTGGCCCAGTGCTTGGTGCCCCGACCATCCCCTTGCCCATCCCTAGGATGGGATCGAGCCCATGTGGGAGGACAGCCAGAACAAGCGTGGCGGGCGCTGGCTTGTCACCCTGTCCAAGCAGCAGCGGCACACCGAGCTGGACCATTTCTGGCTGGATACGGTGAGTGCAGCCCTTCTCGGGCTGGCCTGGGGGTTCTGGCTGTGGCACTCCACCTGCCCCAGGGCTGAGCCCCAGAAGGGACTGTCCTGGGCTCCTTTCTTCCCGGCAGCTGCTGTGCCTCATTGGGGAGATGTTTGATGAGTACAGCGACGAGGTGTGCGGGGCTGTCATCAACATTCGCACCAAAGGGGACAAGATTGCCATCTGGACCCGGGAAGCAGAAAACCAGGAAGGGGTCACCCACATTGGGTAATGCAGTGTCAAGGGAGGCTGTACAGGGCTAGTTTTGGGGGGGAATGGGGTCTCTGGGCAGGGAGCCAGTGGCAGAAGTGCTGCCCTGTTCATGCAGCCCTTTCCTTCTGGCAGGCGTGTCTACAAGAAGCACCTGGGCCTGTCACAGAAGGTGACCATCGGGTACCAGGCTCATGCAGACACAGCCACCAAGAGCGGCTCCCTCCCCAACACCAAGTTTGTGCTGTGATTGTGGGGTAGTAGTGAGCTACTTGTGGGGTCCCCATGTACTGTTTCAGAATGAATGACTGCATCTGAGTATGGTCTGTGTCTCTAGAGCTCTGAAAATTTGGGGTGGCTCTTGTTTGGGGATGGGGAAGGGGATGATGTGTTGGCCTCCCCACCCCCTTTCTGGGTGAGCAAGGCTGGGAGCACAGCACTGTGGCATGGGGCATGTTCCCCTGCCTCCTCTAGTGCCTGGGACCAGTGGCCCTCTCCCTGGGGCTGTGGGGGTGTTTCTCTGCTCTAGGGGACCCTGGATAGACCCCAGGATGATGCCGGGTTCTGTCTTCTCTGGCTGAGGCACAGGCACAACTCACTGCCCTGTAAGCCTGGGCAGGGGAGGGAGTGCTGGAGCTCAGCTCAGCCTGGTGAGCTGGTTCCCATCTCTCCTGAGCCCTGCACATCAGTGAGATGTGGTTCTGCCTTCCCAGGAAGGTGATCTCCCCGGTTGAGGGCTGTCAGCATCCCAGCAGGGTGGGTGCTGGGGCTGCAGTACAGCGTTGTCCCCATGCTGGATCACCTCCCACAGACACCTCCCGCACAGGTGGTACAAAGTTGTTTGCTTCCCAAGGCTTTACTGGTGCCAGACCTACGTGTTCACAGCCTCAGTCTGTTGAGCCCTGACTTTGCTGGCTCCTCCTTTCTGCTGTCCCTCCCTGTCCTGGACCCTGGCTGCAGAGAGGCCACTGTATTCCCTTCCAGATTCAGCCCAGCCTGCACTCTGTCCTTCAATCTTTTATTTGTGTGTTTGATTGTTGGATGTGTCCTCCTTCTCTGCCTAGTCAGGTTCTCGAGGTGGAGCTGTCTGCTCACCTGCTGACAGTGCTGCCTGCAGCTCTGCCCTCACTGCAGCTCTGATGCAGGAGGAGCATCTTCCATCCCCTCCAGCAGCCCTCCATGTCAGCCTAGGGTTACACCTTATCCAGGGCAGCACGTCCAGCCCATCTGTGCCTCCCCATGAGCTCAGAGTCAGGGTCACTCATCCCCCATGGTGCTGTGTCAGCACTGCTGTCTGAAGCCAGGCTCTGCAGAGAGCTGGTCCCTCAGAAGGACGAAGTATCGACCACATCTGTGCTCTTGGAGTTGCTTGAGACCTGTCTGGTCGCAGCTTGGCAGGCAGCTGGTGCAGCCATGACCCCTGGGGTCTCGGCTGCCTGCAGTGCAGCCCGTGGGGTTGAGCTTGCTGAGCCCTGCACTGCCCTGGGTTGCTGCTGCGGCTCCATAGAGCCGTGTCCCCAGGACTCAGCTGCCCTTCTCCAGGGGACAGCAGCAGGGACCCCAGGGCACCTCCCCTGGGGAAGCTATGCCAGGGCTCTGCCTGCCCTCCACCACCCCACATTGCCGTTGTGCCAGGTGGAAGATGCCGCTAAGAGGGTGAAGACAGGAGCTCGTTCCTGTCAGGCAGCGTGCCAGGCCGTATCCCTGTGTCCTTGCATCACGTGCTGTCGTTCGGTCACTTCTCTCTGCAGGTGTAGGGGGGGCAGGACCCCACTACCCTTCCCTATAGGACAACTGGGCTGGAGGTGCTGCAGGCAGCAGGACCAGGGTGAGGGGACAGTGTGGGGAGAAAAGCAACACCGCCGACTTGGGGTGCCTGCAGGCGAGGGAGCGAGGGTCGGCTCTGCCTGCCCTGTCCGGAGGTCCCGCACGGGTGGTGTGTGCCGGCAGCCTGGGTGCTGCCTGCGCTGCCTGTACCGCCGGTCCCTCGCCACGCGATGGTGCCGCTCGCCCGGCCCTTGGCCAGCTCCGCACGGCAGGGCTGGCAGCCTGCCCTGCCTGCGGTGGGGTCCCTGCCTGGCCGGCGGTAGGGTACACCCTGGCTGCAGTGGGGTGACAGAGCTACCCCAGGTCCCCAGAGGAGAGGCAGGCAGAGCCACATGTGGGTAACAAGGTTGAAGCTGGAGGAGAGGGGGCCGAGACCCCCTTAAAACACACCATTAATGCTCCTCCCCAGCAGTGACAGTGTGAAGTGTATGAGACCCAGGGCTACCTGTCCCTCTGTCCCTTTAAGCCACTGCACTGCCCCACCTGGCCCTCCCATAGCCCCCCACCTGCCTCTGGGGCTGAACCCCCTGCTGTCTTTGTTCCCTTACCCCAATGCTGGGGGCAGCAAGGGCATTGTTCCCATGGGGCACCCCAAACCCTGTCACCCAGGAAGGTCAAGGTTAACTGGGGCGGGGGAGCAGAGGCTGCTGTAGTGCTGTGGTTCATCGCCATTCTCATGCAGCCACGGCGGGATTTCATTTGATTGGAAAAAATAATAGGAGCCATTTATCTCCATGGCTTTATGGGCTCCTAACATCCCCACAGCCCAGCTAGGCTGGGAGGCTGGCAGTGCCCACTCAGAGCCCACCCTCTGGGGACACAATGACTTTCATCCTTGAGTCCTGCACTCCATGGTCCCTCTCTGAGGGCAGAAGGTGCCGGGGGGCACTCGGGGACCCCTCTGGGTGGTTGCCAGGAGCCACCCAGTGAGCACACCAGTGCCAGTGCTGCCCCCAGCCTGTCTCATGCTGGGTAGCTGTCCCAGCTGGCAGCCAAGCTGGCAGCCCTGTCAATAATAATAATTAAAAATTAATACTAATCAAAAAGGAGAGGCAGATGGCAGCAGACAGGCGGCAGGGCTGCAGGTGGGGGGTTGCACTGGCGAGAGAGGGGCCTGCAAGGACAGGGGTGAGGAGGGCAGGAGTGCTGTGGGGTCCAGTGGGGAGAGTGGTGCAGAATGTGGGACTGATATGAAACAACAGATGGGGGATGTGGGGCTGCAGTTGCTGTGGGGCACAGCAGGAGTGAGGAGAGAAGCACAGCTCTGGGCTGGTGCAGGGATGGAGATCCATGTCCCCCTCTCTGGGCAGGTGGAGTGGGTTGGTGGTGCTGGGTGCCTCTACAGGGTCACTTTGCCAGCAGCTGGCGTGCAGCCATGGCCAGGCACTGCCAGTCTGGCTTCTCCCTGAGCCACTGGCTCTGTCAGCAAGGACAAATCCTGCCTCCTGCCCTCAGCATGTGTCTGGGGCCAGGATGGGTGCAGGCACCCATTCTGTTACAACCAGTGGGTGCTGCAGGGTTAAAATCCCCCAAATAACTGGAGAAGGAGCTGCTGGCTCCGTGCAGGGTGTGTGGGCCGGTGAAGAACAGGCAGCGCTGGCTCACCGTGGGAGTGGGCAGGCAGTGCGGCTGCCGGCACTGGGGCTGTGTCACACTGTTCCTGCAGTGCCTGAGCCTGTCACCCAGCCAGGGGTCACAGGGATGCTCTGGGCCTTGCAGGAGGGATGTGTGTGTGCGGAGACCCCCGTCCATGGGTACCACCAGCATCCTATGAGCATTCCTGGATTGGAGCCCCTCATACCCTCCCTGCCCACCCTGCCAGGCCCTGAAAAGGATACAGACTGTGCTGGCCCTCCATCCAGAATCACCATGGCATGCAAGGAGAGGCACCCAGGGTGAGGGGTACCTACAGCGCACTGTTCCCATGACAACCTCCCGGGAGAGATAGCAGTCAGTGTGGGAGATGGGGGAGGTGAGGGGCTTGTGGACCCCTCCACACATGGGCTGCTGTGCCTGGCAGGACGCAGTGGGGCACAGCAGAGGGGCTGCACATGTGGGTCTTGCTCCAAGACTTGGGCTCTGCCTGCTCCATCCTGTTCCCTGCCTGCTGTCCCTGCAGTGTGGGGCAGGCAGGCATGGCAATGCTGGTGCTGCCTGTCCAGGCTGGGCTGCTGCTCTACAGCAATAGCTTTGCACGGGTTCTTTGCACAGCTGGTGGGGAAGGGGTTAAGTGCCTGCAGGGTCCTTCCCAGTGCCAGCAGCAGAGGAGGGGAAGACAGGGACAGTATCTCCTGCCCTGCGCCTCAGGGAGCCTGTACCTGAGAAGGGTCCTTTGCTGTCACTTCTCATCTGGGTGGATACCAGGCTCTACAACACGGCTGAGCACTCTCCTTCCCCGCAGGGACGGGCAGGCACTTCTCGCTTGGCAGAGGCAGGCGGGGGGAGCGACTGGGTGGGATGGGGACAGGGATGGGGATGGGGACAGCGTTGGGAGCTGTATGGACGCAGACCTGCAGGCATAGCTGCAGCACGGGGCTGTGCAGGTGGCAGGCAGTACCACCACCCCTGTGGGGTGTGTTCTGCTGGACCTACATCATGATCTGGGTGCCCCCAGCTGGCTGGTCCATGCCCATGGGGTCTTTTCCTGCCCCAGTTGCTGTGCCTGTGCTTCTGTGCAGCCCCTGCCCGCAGCCCCCTCCCTTGGCTCCCCATGTGGATGCCACCAGCTCCAAGGGAACAACAAAGATCCATTAGCACACCACCCTCTCATCCTCCCAGTGTGACATAGGGACCAGTCACTCTCCTGGTTCACAGGGGAGCAGCTGTCAGCCCTGGGGTGCAGAGCACATGGCAGGCAGCACCACTGATGCCTGTCCTTTCCCTCCAGGCCCTGTGCACCCTGGTGTGCCCTTGCAAGGGGCTGGTGATGCTCCAGCTCACAGCCATCCCCTTCTGCGAGGCTGGGGGCTGCCAGGCTCCCCACCAGGCTCCCTGCATGCCCCAAGCACCACGTTTCTGGCTGGGAGGGCTGGTGTTTCCCAGGCGGTCGATGCACCCATCGATCCCGCACAGCTCCGGCGGCTGCTCTCCCACAGCCCTGCTAATTAATTGTCTGCTGCTGCTGCTGCTGCTGCTGCTGTGGGAGTGCTGGGCACCCGGGGCGCCTGGGCTGCCTGCACCCTTCCCTGCTGGCACCCTGCCATGCCTGCACCCTGCCCTGCTACCAGCTCACAGCTCCTACCCCACACGTGGCCTGGAGCTGGTGCCCACCTGTGTCACGGAGTGGGGGGAGTCTGTATCAGGCTAGGGAGGGGGCTGGCAGGCCAGAGCAGGGTGAGAAGCACAAGGGTCTGAGCAGGAGTTTGGGAGGCAGCGCATGGCCACTTGCAGCCCCCGCCAGTTGCCCATGTCCAGGACAACCTC